GTCTGAAGGAGCAATTGATTTTGCACCACCTACTGACCTTTTCATTATTTAAATAAGGATAAAATAAACAACACGTAATACATTGGTATGAGCTTTAGGAGGAAAATGCGCATTTAGGTGATATTCAACATGACCACATTTATTTGTGAGTATGTTTTCATACCAAGCGACGCATTTCAACAATGCTCACAGTTATTTTTCCGCCATCCTAATAAGTTAGCAGGCCACATAAGATAAAAAAACCACCTCACCTCTTGATTGCGTCAGATAACCGCAATTTACACATATCTTAATGATAAATAAAGAGTAGTAAAAGAACTAAACTTCTTCTAGTTGTCTATTTGAAAAAACATAGAAATCTATTAAAGTTAGATTTTTGAATGAATCTTACACCGAAAAATTGACTAACAGCAACAGCAGTCCATGGGCGACGATGTTCATAGGTACGAACAAAAGTTGTTGCCACCACTCTTTCTACCATACATGAAACGGCTTAAATACTTCATTTGATTTCGATTTTTCACTCATCTAATTTCGAAAGCAACAAGTACAGCTTTATTTTGGTTTGTTATTGCCTGATACTCTCTTTAAGTCACAAGCTTTGAATGTTTTAGATGTGCTTAGCATAGGTAACTCCTTCAAGCACGTCCAGATAAATAGTCCAAAATTGAGCATCTATCAACGATGAAATTTTCCACGAAATTTTTCTAGGCAGCGTAATTTTCGTCTTTGTTCTTTGTAGGAAACGTTCGGTAGCTCAAACCTCGACAACTCCAACACTGCATTTGGTCTCTGAAAGGATCTTGTTAGTGCACTTAACTAACCGAAAAAATTGCATTTCACCGTCGGCGCGCATTATTTGCACAACTAGCGCCTATGCTTGACTTTTCAATAAACTTTAGAAATTGTTCGATTGCTTGAAATATGATGACTTCAAAACTGTGTTTGGTTTATAGAGAAGTCTTGACAGTGCGCTGTAATAACGAGAAAAATACGCTTCATCCTAAGAGACATATGCAATGTAAGCATATGAGCGTGTGGAGAAAACCGTATTGTATTAGTTCATCCGAAAAAAATCCGGAACCTTTTTGAAACGGAAAAAATTCTCAATCACATCGTCACTATCCTTGCTTTTTTCTATCACAGCTTTTTTTACTTTTTTTTTTGTGCGAAATCCATTACCTATAACATCCAAGTCTTCCCCTTGAGTTCCGGGCTTCGACTAAGGATTTGTCTTTTCGAAAAACAACGTCGATTACGCTGAGCATATCTCCATGAATTCTCGAAAACGTAGCCTGACCGGCGTGTTCGTTGGTGATCACCGATGAGGGCTTGGGGAGAGCAGAGGGGGAGTAGAGGACCATTTATACTTGAGCATTTAGTCACTCGGGAGCCACTCTTCTCTCTTCAAAAAATATCAAAATAAATGATATAGGTAGCGTCGCGTCCATCAGGGCGACAGCTCAAACTGCTGCGTGTAGCGCGATTTAAGAGGCGCGCAACGTCCGTTATTTGATAAAATATATACCCCTCACTTCGAGAAAATTTTTAAGCTTTTCGCATTAGAGTTGTAATAGAAATTTGTTCTATCGCTCTATAGGTATCAACTTTCTTTATCTTATTCTTCCAGAAAAATTAGTCATAAAGTTCAATTAACAGCTCACGGTCTTTTTTAGGATTCAAAAGCATCCGCGCGTCAAACTTTGGAAGCCTTATGAGCACATAGTAAAGTCAAAAATGAACCGCAAAGAGGAGTGCTCCGTTACCGCGCGTAATTGCCCATACCTCAGCTGAACTTTTAGGCCTGATTCAGGTGCAGCCTCACTGATGCACTGACTCTAGGCGGCTGGTTTCAACGAATAGTTGAAAGACTCAGAACATCTACACGGTAAGTGTTTCAAGATAAAGCCTTTTACTATGTGATTCAAAATTCGTTTTTAAGTTTTCTGCTGAGGTTATGGAGATTTCTGACTGAGTAGATTGCGGATCAATACTACCTTTTTAGGCTCTGAAGAAGTTGAGCCCTGCAGAAACGTTGTACGACTATTACATTGTTTGTACTGCATACTACAGTGTATTATTGTACTGCATTACTGATATCCAATAAAAACTGTTACGAGCACCTCGGAATTCCACAAACACAGGTGTTAGTAGATGAGCGACCTATCTTCTGTAAGAGACCAATGAACCTTCTGTATGAATGCAGATATGGTAATAAGCATATAATAATTGCAAGGTTTAGGTTCATTTGTCCATAAATTAAAGATCAGACATCTGGGTGTCAAATTGACTACTTTATTAGCTCGCTGTTCATAACTTGCACTATAGCTCATCCACCATGCAACACATCGTAGTATTTGCGGTGGATTTGTTCCAGCAAAAAAAGAGATTTATTTAGAAGTACCGTTGAAATTCCACTTCTCAGAAATTTCCGTCTCAGAATGTAAAATTCGAATACTATCATGGTGGTTTGTTAGAAGTCCAGACATTAACATTAGAAGCTTCAAACTAGGACCTGATGATTTGAACTAAAAAGACAAATTATGTCATCGGTTAGTTCAGCGATAGTGAACACTTCCACTAATTGTTCATGATGCTAAAAAAATCTCAAATTATTTTGAAAGCTTTTCATAGTCAGTTCTCTCGGGAGCATCACACTCTTTGTATATAGTTATCTATAACTATATATAAGGAGTGTGATGCTCCCGAGAGAACTGACTATGAATAGATCGACAGACGACGGGTTCTGCCCGGCTGATGAGTCTGTAAGGACGAAACACGTGTCTCGGGCTGTACAAGAGCCTTTACCGGACCACATGATATGTTGGCTCAAATAATAATGAAAGGATCTATTGAAATTTGAGCGTGGTCTTAATAAAGCACTAGAAGGAAAGGTATTTTGAAAGCGTTGAAGACTCAATGCCTCTTCTGCCCTTGTTGTTATAGGATGAACTGAACCGATTATAAAGAATAAATGCTGACTGGAATAGTACTCTCACAACTGAATATGAATGTCCGAATGGGCCTATGTAATTCTTAGAGCAAAATTTTCGATCAAGCTCGTGGCAGTTTTCATCAGTTGGAGTAGAGCGTAGAGGCAGGATACAAGCTATAAGAGAGGCTATGCATTAAATGTTGAATGAGTTAAATTTACTACGACTACAGAACACTCAAATTCTCCACTACCACTTAAAATATCAGCATTTGCTATTTTAAAACTACAGCCATTTCCGAGAAACTCCATCCGGAACTTGAAACTGCTATGGGAGCGAAAACCACTGGCCGGCAACTGCACTACTGCCATTTTAAGGATGATATAGTTTGTGAAACACTAAGAAATAGTAAAGCAAGCTAAAACTGAATCGCTTTGGTAGAATCTGACGCCCTCATCCTTTATATAGATGAATATCTTCAAGAACTACATTGTCTAAAGCAAAAAGTTAACATGAATTGAGAATTCAGCAGAAAGAACACAAAACGCACCACTGTGACCACACTCGGTCAACCATCCAGCACTGCCTTGCTGGACAAACAACTAAGACTCGATGCTGGGAAAATTTTCCATTTTGTAAGTGGAAAAATAAAGACAAAGTTTCGAGCTGCGTCGGTGGTTGGAAATCATAAGCGGCGTTGTGCACACAAAAATGACGGAAATCAGAATGGCCGAAAACTTTACGTGGCCCAAGAAAATGGTGGAAAGGAGACGATAGAGGGTGGCAAAGAATGCCACGCAAAAGGCAGAAGGACTGCCATCTCTATACTCAAATATTGGTCTCGACTGTTGCAAAGGAAAAATAGGGTACTCATCGAGTTCAAGAGCGGTCATTTTACTACTACTAAACGTGAGTGACAAATGGTGATTTTATTAACACGTTATTATCTGCTATACTCTGCGGTAAACAGAATGACAATTAAAACTAATTGCAATTGCGATGATTAGTAAGTACTCATCACATTACTGTTGCTTTATAGGCAGCAAAAGATCCTCACCAGTAGAGCAATAAGGAAAAAGGAACTTTTTCACATGATAAACGTTTTACCTATAAATTTTTCAAACAGACTTAACGATTAGGATCGACATAGTATTAATACCAAATGATCACTCACCTGTGTATAGGATATAAAGATACAGAATTTGGTGGAGAACCGATATATAATAGTAAATTTCGCTGGTTTTCATGCTAATAAAGACGTGCATTGTTAATTGAGCTACGTTCAACGCATTGCTTATCGCGTAGCTCAGAGTCTTCAGAAAAAACAGTAAGCTGAAAACAAACTTTGTAAATAAATTCTCTTTGTATACTATATCAGTGTGTGCATCTTTATTACCTACTATTAGTGATGTAAGCAAGCTACTGAAACCTGTCGAATAATCTCAACCTTTTTTCAAAGCTGCCGTTGATAGAAAACGGCCTCGCAATTGTTGCTCATTCGGGAGTAGGCGCAAACAACGTTGTAGATGGCGCATGATAATTTCACAATGTTATTCTCGTTATGATTTGACCACCTATTGTTACAAAAGAAATTTATGGTAAGCAGTTGATGGACTATGATAAAAGCGACCTAAAAGGTTATTTTCAGCAAGCCAAAACATCACAAAACAATGAATTGCTTGCCGGAAATGATACTGCGAATTCCGTTGGAAAAACGTGCTCTGAAAGAATTTCCATAAATAAAACGCAAAACTAAAATCTCCAGTTTTCTCGCCGTCGAATAATTACTCATACTCCAGCAAAGCTCTCTACGAAAAAATGCCAAGCGGACACAAGTTCATTCGACAGATTTCGCTTGCACTGCACACAGTCCGTAGTGAAAAGTGAGAGTTTTTGAGAAAACAAGGCGTGCTTTCCCACTTCAAATAAGTCCACGTGGTCTTACAGTAACAATCTATATTTCTATATCTGCAAAGCTTGCTTAAAATCAAAAGTTTGGACTATAATACCAAAAAATTCGCTGAGTAAATTCAAAGGACGCATTCTGAGAGCAAAATTTTATATTTTTGCGTCAGGCGGGATTAGAACCCGCACCTCACTCTTCCCTGGAGCGAGTGCACTATTCGTTACACTACTGACGCCCTTTTAAAATACTACTCTTTCTACGCTTCAGTGTATCTATCTGCCAGCTATTTTGTATTTTTTCATTATAAAAAGGTAGTAGTAGTATGGAAGCCGTTTCAACAATCAAGCTTAGTGTCAAAATTGGCATTTTTAGAGCCATTGATTGACTGCAGAAACATGAACATAAAAGAGCAAACAAATGCTCTATACGGTTAGGAGAATGTTTGTTTAAAAGAAATACGTGATTTTCTAGCTGAAACACAGAACATTTATTGACACATGAGCGTGGTTTTTGCTAAAATTATCTCTGTAGAAGTCAGTTTAATGGCTCCATCATTCCATGATTAGAATGTATCCTCGTGGAGCGCATGTGGAGCAGTGATTGAAGGTGCTCTGCGTTACACACAAGGTCCATGGCTCGATCTCACGCTTATGGATTACCAAGAATTCCATTTTTCCAGGATCGGTAAGCCTAGTACCGGACCTGCCTGAAAGGATAAGCAGCACTGTTTTGATAGATCGGTAGGCTACTGCAAGTCATTATAAAGGTCAGATATACATTTAACCACTCATACGAAGCTAAAAATTGAAGACGATTGCGCGCATTCCTCAAAAATTAAACAACGCCTAAAGTTGTAACTTTTAATTTTAGAAGTTCCCTCAGAACTCAAATTACTAAACGAACTCTCCATTCGATTGATATTTCATAGACCTAGCTCAAACAATAATAATCAGATAAGGATATAACGTGTATTGAACCATGTCTAAATGCTATGCAAGCGCCGTTTCGTCCTATCGGGACTCATCAGTAGCACCGTTCCTCAGATCAGCCAATCTTTTGAGATATGCTCCTCTACGAAAGAATTGATGCCGAGTAATAAATCAGCGCAAGTCAGAAGACGAATTGTTTGATATTGTACTGATCGGCAGTCAAGCTTGTGGCTTTTGACGTGAATCATACCTTTTCATTCGATCGCTCTTTTATAGACCTAGCTCAAGCAACGATAATAATCCGATAAAGATATAGCACGTTTTGAGCCCTGTCTAAGTTCTAAACAGGCGCCTGTTTGTTCTACCTGTGTAGAGGAGTATACCCTTAAAGGATCGGCTGAACCGAGGGAGAGGGCTCTTTTACAGCCCGATACACGTGTTTATTGAAATTTAAGCGTGGTGTTAATAAAGCACTCGAAGGAAATGTATAATATGATAAAAATACCAGCCAGCTAGCAATCGAGTGCGAAAACACACTGCGTTAGGTGAAAATTTCGCTTGACATAGAGTGTAAAACGTACGTCTTCGATAACTCTATGTAAGGGAGCAGAGCTCCCGAGAGAAATGACTTCAAAAACATCGAATGACGTCGGGTTCTGCCCGACTGACGAGTCTGTAAAAACGAAACACGTGTATCGGGCTGTACAAGAGCCCTTACCAGACCTATTATTTGAATAAATTGGTGGCAGACTGGTCTCAGACTTGTCCGGGAGGATAAGCAGCACTGCCTCGGTACAGCGGGAGGCCATCGCGAGTTAAAGAAAGGCCATTGCATTTTATGCATTTAACCACCTCAAGCGAAGTTGTAAATTTAAGACGAATGCATGGCGCATCTTTCAGGGATTGATCAACGCCGAAAGCTTTATACTTTTTTTTATCTTTTATCGCTTTTATAACATTTACAATTAGCAATGTGAAGCGACTGCTGGTCAACCCTGACAGCGCATGTCGAAGATTGATCTTCAACTTAATTTCGCGAGAGCGATAATGGAAACTAATTAGCTTTCTACGCCTCGTTAACGCCCAAACAAATGAATAAATAGTCTAAGTTATCCAGATGCGTATAATTTGTTTGGAAATGAAACTTGGTAAAGGACTTAGCATCGTAGTTAGGCCGAGAAAGAGGTAAGTTTCTTTATACCGAACATATTTTTATGAAGCTGTAGGCAATGAATTTTGGCTATAACTGTATTTTCTGAGTAGTAGAACAGCACAGTACTAGTCCAAGGCTTTCGTTTTAGTGGTTTTGTTTTCTTTAGAGCCTAGAAGAGTCAAATTCACATGAAACTTACTCAGTTAGATACTTGCTAACCACAGTAAATAGAATTTACTATGAGTATTAGCTCGCATAGTGAACCGCTTCTATTATATGCTGACCGTTTTGTTATCGTAACTTTAATAATAACAAAATGACCATAAAAAAGGTGTTCTTGTGCAACTTAACCCTTTAACTTCCAAAAATCCTAAGATCCATGCAGACCCAAATTGTCTGCACATCTAACCCTCGATGGCGATAGTGTATACTCCACTATAATGAAGCACATTTTCTGTGGCGCTCAACGTCATTAAGGATTCATTATTAGGGATTGATTTAGTTTAACTGTTGCCTCAAAGTATACTAATTTTTTACGAGAATGATTGGATATTAAATAAAATTCAGTAATTCATCACTACACTGACGAGATTGTAAACAGATATCGGCATTACAGCAAGTTAACTGGACGGCTGGCGACTTAAAGCCACTTAAGTGGCTATAATGCCGATATGTGTTCGCAGTTCTGTTAGTGTAGTGATGAATTACTAGATGTCATCCAACATCCAACAATTCCAGTAGAAAAATAGTATGTTTTGAAGCATTAGTTGAACTGCATCACGGGTCTTTTAATATATTCAAGGAGTTTTGGATCATCGAAAGTCAGAAGGTTAATGTCTACGTCCAACCTATTCTGGTTATGAAGGTGTTTGATTAAGTTCGTTCCATGTCACTCTGATTCTTCTAGGCCCGTTGAAAGCGAAGCCGTCGATACGTAATCCATTGCATTAGTACTGGTTGTAGTACTTTTGTAATTAAAAGCTATTCTATTAACCTTAAACTGTCTATCAAGTAAATATTGATTTACAATCAATGTCGAGATTGACAGACAGTCGGTCTTGGGAATATGATAAAGCCGGCAGCGATTCTTGGTACCTGTTTGACTTTGATTTTCGAATTAGATTGAAAATTTAGATGAACGGCGACTATGGTACTTTCGATTTACTTATCATACCGCTTTTCAAATTTATTAATCTATTGGAAATAGTTCCCTCTAACCTTATAGTCTCCAAGAACACTTGTGAAGCGCATTTGCTTTCGATGTCTCTTTTGCGCTCAACAGAATGGATATTTTCTAGTGTTCCAAATGCGAGAATCCAGGTAGTAGATGCTAATATGACGCTAACCAAGTCTAGAGTTGAACAGAAAAATACCTTTCTCAGAATGTTTGAAAGAGTATGCGGAATAAAGTAAAGAGAAGTATCACTATGTGGTGGACAATGCTACTCTTTTCGCCTTACGATCCAGCTAAGGATTATTATGTAAACAATTTGAAAGACCAAATAGTCAAATGAGGTGGAAAACGTGTTCCAGCCAGCCATTAAGAAAACACAGTTAGCGAATTCGTTTCATGCATTCAATGTAAAGATTACCAGGCCAACAGCAAAACTTCATTAAGAAAACTTTAAAAAGATCGAAGATTATTTTTAACGGGTAGGATCTATAAGGCGTTACAATTGAGGTAGCTGAGCCTTACACTGCCATTACAGGTTCGATTCTCTGGAAAATTGAATACAACTTTTATCGCAGATGTTGGGTAATGTACAGCACTAATTTTTTGTTGAGTCAGAAGCGAAAATTTAGACTAGTCATTGATATTTACAAGTACTAACTCAAAATTTCTATTAATACACCTTGCACAATCTGCAAAGTGCTCATTGGATGGCTAATAAATAAAACTAAATAGTCTGCGTTCGAGCTCTCTAGTTACGACCCATTCGTTTATATGAAGTATAGTCTCCGTCAGCAGAATCGAATTTTACTTTTCTGCTCATTCGTTAAACACGCAACTTACCTTTTTTACAAGACTCTAAGAAAGCGCTACGCAAACAGTTTTGAAAAACAAGTAAATGGATGGGTAAAAATGTGAGCTGTCTAATCCAATGAGGAAACACTATCAACTGTGTTCTATGTACACGATGGGGTGAAATTTACGCAAAACTGAAAGCTTTGTTAAGAAATTCTGGAGAGATGGCACACTGTTTGAAATGGCAGGATTCAGCAAGTGTTACCCTTGATATGACTGAGCCTTTTATTGGCATTGTTCGCTCGAGTTGTCGAAATCAACGATACAAGTGGTAAAACATGCAGTAATTTTTTCAAGCAAAAGCAATAAATTCGGATTAGTTACTAGTTTATGCGGTCCAGTCTGTCGACGGATAGGTGATTAACCTATGTAAGCGCTTTTACTCTCACTTTAATACAGTCTTAAGCTGGAAAATAACTGATTAGGCAGCTAATAGAGCCATCATATTCTGTATACTATCTTGCCACCTTCTATTTCAGACCTATTAATTTTATAAAAGGTTAGGGTGTGAATTACAACCACAAACATGCAAGGGTATGGGCAGAATTTAAAAAACTCAAGTAGGCTTCAAACCTCCGAATACTCTTTTAACAGCTCGCGTGTTAGTCATTGACCAACCAAGGTGATTGGTTGGTCTTTTTCTCAATTGCGTCCTAACTCCGTCTTAGCTATCAACAAACTCCCCTCAGCAAAAACTGTACAGATTACATGGAGTGTACACGGGGTGGACATACTCTTCTATGGAAAGGATGATTAGTGAATAGAAGTTAGTGTTGTGGTAGTGGACACAATACTATACACTGCTCTCAAGATTTATTTAGACTTCGTAACATAGAAATTGCATACCTGAATATCGGATGATATGCTCTCCTATTGTAGATATGTACAATACTTACGATTGTGAATCCACAAACAGAAACGCTATAGAAGACAACCATTAGAGTGTTCATAGTCGTTTCAAATTGAGCAGAACAGAAGGAGCTCATTGTGTGAGAATGATGATACCCTGTAAAGCATATCAAAAGAAGATGTTGCAAAAACTGAATCTTCTCTCTGATGGGCAAGTAACAATTTTGAGAAAAACAACACATGACAAGGATTCACTTCGATGAAGCAAGGAGAAAAGA